AAGGGTCTAGGCCCGAAACGTCAGCCTTCCTGCTCCTCTGATGCTGCTTGGCCTGCTGTGTTCATCCAGCTCTACACCTTGTTACCTCAGATTCTCCAGCATCTGCAGTTCCTACTATCTCTGAAAGCATTTCAGGGATGTTCACTTGCTTTCAGCATGCACTCACTCACTCTGCATCTACTTGGATGCTCACAGCATCTCTGCTTTGCCTTACCTTTTTGCGCTTTGCCCCCTCAGCTATAGCTTAAGGGCTCACAGTAGTTCGTTCAAGGCAGACACAAAAGGCAGGCAGCTTGTCATGTTTAATCAGCATTCATCAGTCAAAGTGTTAGACATGCAAAGACACCATGCTTCATAAATCTCACACCTGAACCCCGTGCTGGTTGCATACATGGCAAACACACTGCACGCATTTCATGAAAATGGGGAGGCAATGGCCTAGCGGTATTATCGCTGGACTGTTAATCTAAAGACCTAGATAACATTCTGGGGACTCGGGTTCAAATCATGCCACGGCAGATGGCGGAATCTGAATTCAATAATATATCTGGAATTAAGAATCTAATGACGACTACGAATTCAATATCATTTGTTGGAAAAACACATCTGGTTCACTAATGCCCTTTAGGGAAGAAAGCTGCCATCCTTACTTGATCTGGCCTACATGTGACTCCAGACCCTCAACAATGTAGTTGACTCTGAACTGCCCTCCAGGCAATTAGGGATGGGAATAAATGCTGCCTAGCTAGCGATGCCCTCATCCCATTAATGAAGAAAGAAACAAAAAGTAAACAGCCATGTATCAAAATCCAAGAGAAATCCTCAGTCAGGTCCAGGAAGATACCCTTATTGGCAAGCAGTTCCAGCACAGTAAGTCAAGGGCAGACTCTGATTTCAGTTCAGGGGTTAGGTCGCTCAACTGTTCAAGTTGGTCACATTAAAGGGGTCCATACCTTTTCAGTCAAGGGATTGGGCCATGGTCAGCCCTGTGGGCCAACTGCAGAAAACAGCATAAAGACAGTTAGCGAGCTGTATTGATAACAGTCAGGGATCCGGTCACTCATTGTTCGGGCTGTTTGTCTAAGAATGAAGAAGGGTCACCAGACCCAAAACGTTAACTCTGTTTTTCCTTTCGCAGATGCTACCAGACCTGCTGAGCTTTTCCAGCAACTTTGTTTTTGTATTTATCAGGGGCAATTCTTAAGAAAATTAATCTGGTGAATTTACCTGCGCAGACTTGCCCACTTATAAGGTTGTGTCCTTCCTTTCTTTAGCGCAGGACTGGGATCTGCAGCTTGGGTGGAGACTGCCAGCCCTATAGTGGAATCCGCTAGCCTTGGAGTGTTGGAGACTTTGTTAGGCATACCCAGAGATATCTGTGTCCAAAGGGTCCAGACAGACTGAATGTGTCTTGCCCAGAGGCAGATGCCATACGGTTGTGTGTGGCAGGTAGGATGGAGATAAGGTAGGATCCCATTAGCATTGGTGCAGTCCTACAACCTGTGTGTCAGGTTGCTCAGTGCCCCTGACAAACCTGCTTGTTGCTCCTCAATCTATTTGTAAATGACATCATGAATTGCCGACACCACAGGGTCCTCTCTGCCTGGGCTGAGCAGATTCCTAGTCCTTGCCTGTCCCCCAAGTGCAGTGAACTGAAGCATTCTTTCGTGAACAAGCTGTAGTGACATGGCAGTGATGTGCTCACCAGTAGGTGCTCCCGACTCTAATCCAGCCAATGTTCTAATGGTTGAGTAAAACAGTAATGACAGTGCTTCTTACTTGGTCACTCGCGAATAAATGGTTCTGCATCTCCAATAGGACTGGTCGTGGCTGGGAGCCAAATTTTGGACAACCCACTACCCATCCTGGATTTTTTGGCCCTATTATGGGCCATTTTCTTTTGGAAAGAGACTTAGGGGAGATACTGAGTGAGATGGAAGTATCTGGCACAGATGTTAGTGCAGTTTCAGGTTGGGGAGAAGGACTAAGGTGTTCTGAGTGAGTCAGCAGGCAGCACAGAGGCCAGGCAGGGTTAGTAGTGTGAGGGTTTGGGTAGTGACAGCATGTAACAGTAAGAGTGATAGAGCACAAGTCTTGGTGGGAGGTGGGTGCAGTGGTAGAGATAGAGTGTGAGGCAGCGGAGAGAAAATAGTGGCACACACCCTAGTGGAATGGAGGCGGTCACTGGCCTTCTTCCTACACTGCTGGCCATTTCTTCAGACGACCGAGACTGTACTGACCTGGGTAGCAACTTTGGGGGTGGCTGGCAGGATCTGGTGTTGTGTCCTCATCTGCTGGTCCTGGTGGGAGGAGTTGGCCCTACTGTGCACCACCCTATTCATCAGAGCTTCCAGGTTTACAGAGCGGGGCACCAATTTCCCCTTATCTGTCACATTCAGGTCAAATGTCATGAACAGTGCTGGACAGGTCTGGCCCTGCAGCATTGGACCAAGTACATGACAGCTTATTAAATATGGTGCCAACACCAGGAATCCCAGGATGTCCTGGCAGTGTCAATTACATCTGCCTACAGTCAGCTGGAGAACCAGACAAGCAGAGCACCAATGGGACAAGGTGCATGGTTAATGAAGCAAGTTTGGGACTATTACACCTGAAAACTCATTAGGCTATGTGGAGAGAAATCCTCTGTGGAAGACAACAAGAACAACAGTTAGACAATTTCTGCTAAAATTCAGCATATAGTTCTCTTTTGATTATTGTGATTAGAATCCTGTCAAAAATTGATAACATGACTACAACTACCTAGTTATCATTTAGCAGTATCACATGGGCCAAATCCGCAACTAGGATATTTAACTCCCCAAACTTGGTTGAAGTCATTCTATACATCCACAGTGAAAAGCTGGAAGTCAGTCAATTTCAGCCACTTTTACACATTCTACACTATGATATCTGTAGAGATCAAAGAAAAACTGCCTACTTTCTAAAAACATGCCAATGCAGATCAAAAGAGAGCTAATGATAAGCTGAACCGCTTAAAATTAATTATAAAGTATCATTAAAGTTTGATTATGGCATGCCTATTATCTAAAAAGTTGTATTAATTCAGACAATAAGCACATTTATGATGATGACAACACCAGTAGTGTGACTTTGAATGCATTCATAAATATGCCAAAAACACTTCATACTCGTGTAAATGGACCTTTAATAATGAAGAACACAATATTTTTAATAAGACTTACCTATTTTGCTGTGGATTTTGGTTCTTGGAGCAGACCCAGAAGTCAGAAAATATTCTGTCCTTTACATCCAAGTTGGATAGTAAACATCTCCACTTTAGACAGATGTCTGATATAAATAAGAAATTGCTGTCTGCGATTAACAGAATTTTTAAAAAAAATAAAGCAAGTCCATATTAACCATAAACAACCATTAATCATCTGAAAATTGTGGGCAGTGCAACTCAAAATGTATGATTTGTATTAGTATGTGCAAACCCCCGAGACTGAAAGTCTAAGCCCTGATGAAGGGGAGCATGGAATACAGGTGGATGCTAAATAATGCTCTGTTGTCCAGGATGCTGGTTCTCATTTTCTCATCTATTTCTCCAGAGGAAGAATTGGTGAACAGTGGCAAGTGGGAAGCAATGCAGATGCCTGGAGGTGGCTTGGAGACGACCAACTGGAGGCCAACGAAACCAGCAGGATTTGAGACCCTCTTTGCTTGCTTGGCTTCAGTTGCAGCCGTAGACTGCTTTGCAGAGTGACTCCACCCTCAAACTAGTGACCTCAGCCTTCATTGAAAAATGTTAAGAAGTTGAGAGAGGGAAGCTCAAATTGGAGGCAGCCTCTCTCTGACTTACTTGTAAACGCAGCATGTACATTCTACAGTGTTGGAGGTCCTACTATGGAAAATCTTACTCCCCACACAGTTGACTCCAATTTCTCCCTCATGTCAAGGTCCTGAGGCTTGTGGGAGAAATGCTGCATGTACCCTAGCTAATATTATGTCCATAAAAATCCTTCTATTTTCCTATTACTTTACCCCTCCTTTCTTATAGGTGCCAATTCTCAGGGAACCTCCTCAAACACCAAATTATCACTGAGTGCCCCTTTTTAATGCTAAGGCTTTGAACCACAGGCTTTTGCGTAAACATGGTTACATTATTGAACCATTCAACCAAGCACAGGAAGCGACCATCTGGCTCATTGATTCTGTGCCAGTACTTCTAAAGACTAATCCAGCTAGTTTTATTTCCCTATTCTTTCCCTATGTACTATTTTTTTTCCTTTAAATGTTTAGCCAATATGCTTTTGCATGCTACTACTTAATTTGTATTCATCACTGTATTGGACAATATGTTCCAAGCCCTAAATGTCATCCAAAAGGTGTTTAAAATTGATACTCTCTGTTACATTTTTTTTTGAGTAATGCCATTAATCATTCTAGAGCCTCAATGGTGAAAATTAGTATTCTAAGTCTATGACACCCTTAAAAATACTGAAGTCCAGAAACATACCTTTGTGCCCAACTTGAGAGCTCTGTCCCAAACTTTCAAGCCACTTCACTTAAGTCAGGTCCCAGCTAGACCTCACTCAGTGATTAGCACTGCTGCCTCACAGTGCCAGGGACCTGGGTTCGATTCCACCCTTGGTCGACTGTCTGTGTGGAGGTTGCACGTTCTCCCCATGTTTGCGTGGGTTTCTTCCGGGTGCTCCGGTTTCCTCCCACAGTCCAAAGATGGGCAGGCTAGGTGGATTGGCCATGCTAAATTGCCCATAGTGTTCAGGGATGTGTAGATTAGGTGGATTATGGGGAATGGGTCTGGGTGGGATGCTCTGAGGGTCGGTGTGGACTTGATGGGCCAAAAGAACCTGTTTCCATACTGTATGGATTCAATGATCTTTGATGAAATTTAACCCTGGCTTTATGTTTAGTACATTGTCATTTGTTTGGTTTAGATAGTTTTGATTAATCTGTTCCTGAAGAAGTTACCTATAAAATGAAATGCTACTCAGAAAATACATTTCTTTACTGTGTTAGCAATTCACAAATATGTGGTACTTACCACACTGCACTATAACTGGAATCTCAATGGCACGTTTCCTCTTGTACTGAAGTGCATTCGAAGGTGACAGATTCCAGTCTGTTGACAGATATCCAAACTCATTCCAAAATTTTACAACTCCCATTTGGGCTGAAAGCACATGAAATGTCAGAATGACATTGATGTTCTGTTGATATGGGGATCCCATAAAAACTGAATTTTCCTAGTGTTTATTGTGCAGCATGAGATTTAATTTAGCAGTTATTAGAGCAGCATTTAACTTTCCAAAGCTCTTTGAAAACAAAGAATTACATGAACATGATTCCCACTGAGCTAACATCAACAATTTTAAAATACATCCTATTGTAGGAGTGCTATTTTCAAAAGTAAGTAGTATTTACTTTTAGAAAAAATGGTAAACTAACCTTCAGATGAAGCTGGACAAGGGGACAATGATTATCCAATATCATGAGTGGCTGTCCGAAGGCCAGAAAGATTCAGACAACTGATTGACAGAGTGAGGGTTATTGACAAATTCCTTACCACTAGATCTATGATAGAACAATAAGTGTTCAGGGCAAAGGAAAGTTGTCATCAAGCAGACCTTGTTTAAAGAAGTTTTCATTGGGCATTCGCAGAGGTCAGTCTTCATTGAGCTGTCCTCATCAGGTAGATGGAAGATAGACCAGAAGGAGAGGAGTAAGACTCAGGGAAGAGTTTGCTAACACCTCAGCTACAAAGTAAGTTGCTCAACTTTAACTAGACCAAAACCTTCTGCACCAACAGTCTGTTCATCTTTTGGTACCAGTGAACCATTCCCAATTTTCAATGTTATATAACTTTCTTTATCTAATTAAATAATGTATCATATCTAAACTGCTGCTTCTTAAATTCAAACTATCAGAAAATTACTCAACTAGTTGACTGCCTATATTAGGTAACCGTGATCATGAACTTCTAAAATCAAAAGTGCCATATAAATGTAAAACCACACCGTAAGTGGAAAACATAAGTTAAAAGGAACAAACACAAAGTTGCTGGAAAAGCTCAGCAGGTCTGGTAGCATCTGTGGAGGAGAAAACAGAGTTAACGTTTCAGGTCGAACTTCTGAGGAAGGGTCACCGGACCCGAAACGTTAACTCTGTTTTCTCCTCCACAGATGCTACCAGACCTGCTGAGCTTTTCCAGCAACTTTGTGTTTGTTCCTGATTTACAGCATCCGCAGTTCTTTTGGTTTTTAAAAGGAACAAATTCTGTTAATCAAAAGTCCAAACCACAGGCATGGAATGTGGTGCCTTAATCCCAGTTCTTTTCGTTTCTGACAATGATATTACATTGTTGGTAATCAGAGTGATCCTCAAATCAGTAGCCGGTCAGTTGGCCCTAGGTTTTTACTCAAGTCAGAACTCCTTCCTTTTAGAAGCAAATTACTGCAGATGCTGGAATCTGTACTGAAAACAAGAAATGCTGGAGATCACTGCTGGTCAAGCAGCATCCATGGAGAGACAGCAAGTTAACGTTTTGAGTCTAGACGACTCTTCATCGGAGCTGATGTGAAGGGTGGAGGGGGCAGCATTTATGCAATAGTGGAGGGGTGGAGCACCGGGAAAGAAAAAGAGTGGAAAGACTCCAATGAAGCTATCTGTTCTTTCCAGTCTGCCAGTTAGACACACCTTTTTCTGACCTTCTCACATGCCAATCACTTAATCTGCTCTATCAACACCTTTCTCCTCTAGCACTCCACCAACCCTCCCCACTACTATGGCAATGCTGTCCCCTCCACACTTCACATCAGCTCTGAGGCAGAGTCATCTAGACTCAAAACATTAGTTTGCTCTCTCTAAGGATGCTGCCTGACTCACTGTGATCTCACACCCTGGAACAAATAAAAGAAAAAACGTTGCTGCACTGTTGTCAAGCCCCATAATATTTTGTAGTATCCAGTGACTTCTTCTGGTTCTTGATACCATGTGGAATGATTCAAATTGGCTGGCATTAATAATGCTCGAGACTTCAGCAGGATGCCAAGATGGATCATCCACTTGGCATGTCCAGGTGTTTTTTTTGGTGGTGCTGCATAATTTGTTGAAGATCTAATTTTTAAGTACTTCAATGCTTTTAGTAAGCAAAGTGTCTGGGTGCTGCAGGTCGACCTGTTAGGAATGAGGCACTTCTCTGTCCATGAATTGGTTCAAGAACTATCTAGCTCCTACCTTTGCCACATCCATATCTATTAACTTCTTCTTATCCGGCAGGAGATTGGCAGGAGTAGGGTTGGGGGAGGAGGGGAAGAGCGACATGACAGGAGAATTTGAAACTAACAGAAGGACATACAAAACGTTTCACTTCCATTGAGGTGTCAATGCTGTATCATTGAATTTATAGACATGGATTTATGCACAATTTTCTCACACTATGCATTAAGACAGTCTATAATGCACGATTTCATGCATCACATAGAAGCAAAGGGTGCTTTAGTAAAGTGATACCACTGTGAGATCTAAGTTGCTAGTGAAAGCATGTTCTGCTCCAAAAATAAGAACAGGTTGAAGCCATTTAGTCCCTCAGAATGCACCAATTAGCTCATATATTGTATTATATATACTCACAGACTCAGTTTACCTGCCTTAAATCCATACTCCTTGATGCACCTACCTAATAAATGTCCATTGATTTTAGTCTTGTAAACTTTTAATTGGTCCAATTAAAGAGACTGTTCCATGATTTCTACTGACTTTTGTGCGTAAAAATGCTTCTTGATTTCATTCTTAGAAATCTAAATCTAATTGTAAGGTTGTAATCCCTTATACTGAAGGCAACAGATTCTTTGATCTAACCGAGGCCTTTAAAATTGATTTGTCAGAGTACATGCTTCAAATTTATAAATTTAAGGGAAAACAAAATAAAATTTATGCAACTTGTCCTTATGACTTATCATTCTGGTCAAATCTGTGCTGTATCCTCATCAAGCCTAATAGACCTTTCCTAAAGTCTGATGCACAAAACTGAAAGCAGTTTTCCAAATGTGATTTGACTCATTTCTACACACCTGACGCAGAATGCACATATGCACTAGAACACTAAGACAATGAAAGACAGGAAGCCCTCCAATGCTTGCAGTTATTGAATGGCTATTTAATTTATGTACCAAACTATTCAATAACAATTGGGTTGTCCTATTATCGTGATTTGAAGCTGTTTCTAAATATCTAAACATATTATTCATTTGCTCCTCTGGGTTTGGTTTTCTGCATTGACATTGATATGGTGCGCAGCAGAAAAATCAACCACCCAATTAATCAAAACCAGATTTGGAATTGGAGTAATTAATCCAATTTTATGGTTCAAATCCTTGGATTTTCATCTCATGCAGAGAACAGTGAGAATGAAGGCATGTTCCTACTTTATACCTTTAGTTCACACTGGAATTGACCATTTTACAAACCACAATAAACTATATCTTTTTCTTACCAATGCCAAGATCCTTCCAATACTGAAGCAGAAATTGACCCATAATGCGAAGCAAACTGGAGTATTCCTTGGCATTTGCAAAGTCTTGCTTGTTATGAGTGGGCTCCATCATTACACTGGGTACATCAACAACACCCACAACACCGCTACAAGCCCTAAGAATATAAATTCACAGTGAATAATAAACAGACTGTGTCTTCTGCTGCAAATTCATCAACATGTGAACTAAGCATATTGTGCAATAGAAGAATATTAGGTTGCCTGACCAACATAGTCATTTCTTAATCCAAGAACTAATTTCATGATATTCAGGTCATTACGGTTACTGAAGCTGGCACTACAAGAACGAAATCTATCTATCTCACCAGCTACTTAACAGTACCACCCACATGGCGTATAATGTAGAGAAAGGCACTCTCACAAGCATCTGATATAACAAGGTGTAGAGCTGGATGAACCCAGCAGGCCAAGCAGCATCAGAGGAGCAGGAAAGCTGACGTTTTGGGTCTAGACCCTTCTTCAGAAAGCATCTGCTGCTTGTGCAAGGAGTAGTTGCAGTGGCGCTATCATAACATAGCTCAGTTCAAACCAGCTGTTGCAACATATAATTTCCAAATTTGGACTACAGAGTTCCACTGGACATACTTGGTCATCACTTATCAAAGATCAAGTGTTCAACTGCAACAAAGGTTCAGCACCAGTACTAGTTAAAGGGCTAGGCACCCAACATGCAACTAAGGTAATTTTTAATAACTTCCGCTATTACAAAGTCTCTGAAAGTACTCTAGAGAAGTGCTCTCTGACTACAAGTATTTCTGCAATAACGTGTGTTTCGTTAACGTGAACTGGCTGCAACGAGATTGATCAGTAGTGGACGCCGTTTGGATAATGCAAACTTTCCACTGTAAAGTATTGTGATTTTCTATAGCAATTTCCCTATAACATGATTTTCTACAGTGCGAGGTCACACAAGAATGCAACTATCACATTATGGAGAAATACCTCTATTTCAAACACACTATCGCTTTCTGAATTTAAGGGCAACCGAAGACCCCAAGAAAATATAGAAGACAGTTTACTTATAGTGCTATATTAATATGAAACCAAGCATATATATAATTATTCTTTTTGTTCACTACTCAATGTCTCAGTGTAACACCTGTGACTGCACATCAATCTGTCAGTGCCTAGGAAGTCTGAGTTGTAATTTAAGTCTGCTAGCTATATACAGTCCATCAAATGGCTGAGAGCCAAGTACAGTACTTGGATTTGGTTATCTTCATTTGGGAGAAGGCTGTCTGAGATATATGGACTCAAAGAAAACTTTCAAAGCACAAGATAACAGAAGCGGGTTATTTTTCTGTTTACAAATCCTCAAAACTCACTGTCCCTTGATCAATTTAATTTTGTACTGTACTTATATCCATATCAATTCCATTTCTTTGTAAATCAAACACGTGATGGAATTAGTAGCCAACCCACATCTACTTGAAAAAATATATCCAAGACAAAAATGGCAATTTGTTTAATAATGTCTAATTCCTGAAATCACCAGCTCAATTTCTCTGTTAGCTTCCTCAGGAAGAAGTGTGCAGAAGTTTTCTTTAGTTTTGAGTCTGGAGAAAAAGTGCTAGAAAACAAAAAAAATCAGTGTTGCAACGTTTCATTTTATTTTTAAAATTGAAAGGATTATACACCCCATTTCAATTTGAATGCATTCACAGCACTGATCATATATGTTAAGTATCTATCCTTTACCTGTGTTCACAGTTCAACTTGCTCAGTTTTGACATTATTTCTGTAACTACCCAAAGCTGAGCAGCCACGCATTGTAAGACAGCTCACTGGCAACTTCATTCCTTGATTTAGGTGATGATTTCAGCCATCAGATCTATAAATCTTTGCAGAACCTTCCCTTGACTTAGCCACCTCACATAGCAAGGAAGATGAGTCCACAATAAGCAGCACAGAGTTTGCCGAGGATTTAAATAAGCATTACCGGAGAATATTCACAATTTTAACAGCAACTTTCAATACATGAGAAAAATACATCATTTTGCTTGATGATGCTTACTGGTGGATTATAGACTGGTATTTGACAAAAAAAAAGAGGGGAAGATAGGATAATTTCTGCAAAATGCAAAAAGCCTGCATTTGTGCCAAGCATGGCGAGTGCACCATCAGTTGTGATGGAAACCAGTTTCTTGATTGGAATAAAAACAAAGTTGCTGGAAAAGCTCATCCGGTCTGGCAACACCTGTGAAGGAAACAACAGAGTTAACGTTTCGGGTCCGGTGGCCCTTCCTCAGAACAGACCCTTCCTCTTTTCTGAGCTTTTCCAGCAACTTTGTTTTTGTTCCTGATTTACAGCATCCACAGTTGTTTCGTTTTCTTGATTGGAATGTTTTACCTAAGCATTTACATATTGTTCTCTCTTTGAGGGGCAAAAAGTGTGCCAATCACGTTGATAGATTCATTGAACTGCAGTGAAGAAAATTCTCAGTCCTTCAGGTCCCATTGTAGTTGTTGAACATCATTTTTGGATAAAGATCCCATTTGTCTTGCTACTGTGAAAGCACCAAGCGATAAGCTCAAGATTGCAGTCATTATTTCTTCTTTGTTGTTAGAGCCTTTGAATAAAGAATTAGAGGGCATAGTCATTGCTTGTTGAGTTACTTTGCCATATCTGATGGATTTCTTGTTTTAGCAGAAGTTGGCAAATACAAAATGATGCTTCAGTGTAAGCCTTACCTTTTGATGGTGATTTAGACAAAAATTGTTGAGCTTTCAAAAAGGCTTCCAGCTTGTCAAATATCTCATTTCAAAGCATATTATTAGAGCGAAAATTATCCTTGATAACTCTGCATTGTTGTGTGGTGTCATTCCAAATTCTCCTTTTTACTTACCACACACATTGCTAACGAAGAAGGCAAACACTTGTATCTTTTAAAATTGTAAGCAGAAATTTATTTTCCGTTTTTGCATGGAAGTTAGATTTTTATTTCTTTTTAAGATGGTCGAATTCATTATTATTGCTTCACCTTGTAGTTCATGCTATCACTCCGCCATTGGTTACGTTGCAAATAGGCCTCGAACATTCAGAATGTTGCTGGCTGCTTTCAAGTGCAGAGGCATGGGAGGTCACTTCTGCCTTCATGATTTGCTTCTGGGGGACCTGGTCAGTTTAGGTTGTTGGAATATTGGATGTGGAGCATGGTGGAATTCCCCATAATTTTTTATTGTCCTGCACGGGCCTATTAGATCAGCAGCTGAAGAAAGCAAAACTTAGCATCTACAAAGAATGGCAGAGGAGTAGGACTAGCTGAGCTGTTCTTTCAGAAAGTCCACATGGTTGAATTGCTTATGTTTCTAGTACTTCAATATAATCGGCTTTACCATTGGTTCCTAGTACATTTTTTATTCATTTGTACAGAAAACATTCTGTACCCTGTAATATACTCTGTCTGAACCAAACAAACAATCCAAGCGGTTGAAAAAGCCTGCACTTTTCTCTAGCCACGCAGCTTCTAGAAAGGGGACTCATACAACAGCATGATGATCGGCATATAGGCGATGATCGAGAAAGGGTGGACAGCGAGATCAACTGTGAGACTCAGATCGGCCACTTAACTGCATTCTGTGTGTTGGAGACCATGGCTCTAGAGCACTTTGAGAACGTTTTGGTGAGTTCTTATGCTTGGCATACAGTGTTGCTGCATCCTGAACATGGAAGTCAGAGGTTTGAGAGGGTTGGATTATGAGGAGAGACTGAGTAGACTGGGATTATACTCATTGGAATTCAGAAGAATGAGGGGAGATCTTATGGAAACATAGAAGATTATGAAGGGAATAGATAAAGTGGAGGCAGGGAGGTTGTTTCCGCTAGCAGGTGAAACTAGGACTAGAGGGCATCGCCTCAAAATAAAGGGAGGCAGATGTAGGACTGAGGTCAGGAGGAACTTCTTCACCCAAAGGGTTGTGAATCTGTGGAATTCCCTGCCCAGTGAAGCGGTTGAAGCTACCTCACTGAATGTTTTTAAGGCAAGGCTAGATAAATTTTTGAAAAGTAAAGGAATTAAGGGTTATGGTGAGTGGGCGGGCAAGTGGAGCTGAGTCTCAATAAGATCAGCCATGATCTTATTAAATGGTGGGGCAGGCTCGAGGGGCCAGATGGCCTACTCCTGCTCCTAGTTCTTATGTTCTTATGTTTCAATGACTTATTAATATACATGAGATATGGTGCTGCTGTTGCAGTGCCTCTGGATCTACAGCACATTAGGGAAATGCACAGAAGTAGGCTGTATGTTACCCTCTGGACTCTTCCATGCTCCTCAGGAAAGACATGAGGCTGTCTGGCTGAGCAGCCAGTACACTACGCTTCTTGGTGGACATGCCCATCAGCACTCTCCTGTATGTTACTCATCAAGATTCTTATCAGACTCATTTGTAGCAGGATCTGTTTCCTACTCACTCCTTGGAGCTGCATGAAAACGAATCATCCTTTCCCTCACTATCAGACCTATCGTACTCTAACTATCCCTGTGCTGATCTCAACTCTGTTAGCTTATGAGTTACGAGCAATGCAATATTTGAACTGGCTGCTGTGACTGATTATGTTATGTGGCCCCTTCTTCAGTGGTGCTGTTATTCTTTTTCCTCCTCAGGTTCTGGTGGGGCAAATGATTGGTCATGTGTCTGAAGTCAGAAATTAGAAGGGAATAGGTGGATGTGGGAATGTGACGAGAAGACAGTGAGAGTCAAGAGGTCCATGATGACAGTATCAGCAGCCAATGAAAGTATCAGCAGCCAACGAGCAGGACATATGAGAGCAGGGAATTTAGAAGAGGCATAAAGCACATACCACATAAAGAACATACCACACTTCTATGTTCTCAGCAATGCCTGATGACAACCTGAGCTCTGTTTGTAGGAAGTACAGACTCCACTTCCCAGTTGCCAACACTCTTGACCTTGCCAGGAGTCTGCTAGAATAGACATCTGTCTCCTGGTAGGTATTGAAAGCAATCTGGAAGATCTTGAAATGATAGATCAAGCATATGAATCAATATATTGGAGATAATTTTGTACAGAAGCTCATTATTCATTGAAAAAATGGTGATCCAATTGTATAATTTGCAGTGTAATGAGATAAAAGCAAAACTCCAGCTGGATCAATCAGTAGCAATTTCGAGAAGAGGAAGAAACTACAACATCCATCGGGAGGCATTACCAACATGGTGATACTACGCCTCACGCAGCGTGCTCATTTAAATTCAAATCATAAATCAACAAAACTCAGACTGCCAAGGTATGGGCTGCAATGGCATTGGTGGAGTGTGAATTTGTTGTTGAAACAACTCCACAAAGGCAGGTGTCCAGTCACCAAGTCACTCTTTATCTAGACGTGCATTGTACATGACACTGACCCAGCTGGCTCAGAGTCAGCTCCTAGAGTGAGCAGAACCCTACTACTCCTGTTTAGATCTGTCAGCCAGGTTAAGGTAACAGTCCCAATCAGGGAACTCACTTTCTATGAAGTCCACCTGGCTGATCTCATTTCAATCACTACATCCCTCCTCCACTAAGACCTGGGGCATAATCCCATTCTTTATCCTGTGGCTTCTCATGGGGCATTTTCGTAGCATCTCTGGTTCTTCGGACTCTGCCTCAGATACTGGCACCAGACCGTAGCCTGCCTCTTGCGCCCAGAGCAACTCATCTGAAATTCATCTTCTTCTTTAAGCGGTAACAGCATCAAGGCTGCAACAGCTGCCATGTCCATCTTGTCCTCAGAGGCTTCTTCAAATACTGGGTGGAGGGGAAGAACCAAGGGTTCTGACAACCTTGCTGGATGTTCTGAAGGGCTAGGTATGTTTTGCTTCTGCCCTGTTTCCGCGGCTGCAGCTTTTGTGCAGTCCATGCGCTTGTTCAGAACTGCCTCTCCTAACTGAACTTGGTATGTCATGGGACCTGATCTCTTGTTGACCATGCCTTTCACCCAAGCAGGGCCATTCCTGTGGTTGACATCAAACTTCATTCCTTGAATGAAACCGCCTCTCTCACTTCGAGAAGTCTTGTGTCCGGCATTGGCATTCCTGATGAACTCTTTCATGTCCAACCACTTTGAATTGACATCCGCAATGACTGAACACATACAACCATGAAAGGACCAGCATAGTCGATGTGTAAACGAGGCCACATTTTGCTAGGTCATTCCCACAGATGTGGGGAGCTGCTGGCAGCAATTTGTGTCGGTGTTGGCACTCTGGGCACAGTCCCACCAACACAGCTATATTGGCATCCAATCCTGGCTACCAGACATACTTCTTGCTGACATCTTCATTTTGGAAATCTCTGGTTGACCCTGGTCGAGTTCAACCAGTATCTGGCGATGACTTTTGCTTGGGACAATCACTCTTGCTTCCTACACTAATATGTCATCCTCTACGGGTGATTTGGTCTCGCCGGCTCCAGAAAGTTTCAATTCTGTTTGCAATGGCCCTTTGGTTGCCCCCATCACGACCATCTTCTTCCATTTTTCCAGGACAGGATCTTTTTGTGTCCACCGCCCGATATTGTCAGCAGTGACCAGAAGGGTATCAGGATGTTTAAACCAAAACAGACTCTTCCAGTGATGGTACCAGTAATGCAACCACCACTGGGAGGCAGCTAAAAGCATCCGCATTTGTCACTTAGCCTCTCGGATGGTGCTCCAATTTGTATTTGTATGCACTCAGAACAAGCACCCACTGCTGAGTTTGAACTGAAGCTATGGATGGAATGGTCCTGTCCTCGTGAAGTAGTCCTGGCAGTGGTTTGTGATCCGTTACTATGACAAATCTACATCCATAAAAGGTATTGAAGGAACTTTCTCACACCAAAGATGACCGCCAAACCTTCCTTCTCTCTCTGGGTGTATCTTTGTTTCGCATCAGCCAAAGTCCGGGAAGCATACACTATTGGGGGCTCCTAGCCGCTGAGCCACAGGTGAGCCATCACTACCCTACACTGCATGTCAGCACCATATCTCGCTTGGACCGTATTGTGCGAATACTTTTGATGACAACAACTGCTTCTTCACTGCCCTAGAGACTACATCTTGGCTTTGAGATCATTTCCAAGGCTCAACCATTTCCAATAGCAAACGTAAGGGTGCCAGGATGGAGGCCAGCTTACGAATGAACTTTCTGTTAGATTGTTAATCAAACCAAGGAAAGACCTAAGCTCTGATACAGATGTGGGAACTGAGCACCTTTGATCGCCCTCACTTTATCTTCCAATGTATGTCACCCGGTCTTGTCTCCTCTGTAGTTCAAGTAGGTTACTTGGGGTGCCTGGAACACATACTTTTTCCTACTAAAGCATACACCACCTTGAAGAAATATTTAAGCACCATGTCCAAGTTCTCTAAATACTCTTTTTTGGTCTTCCCAGTTATTAACATGTCATCCCAATAAATGGTAAAATGTTCACCATCGTCCGCTGGAAAATGGCATAGGCTGATGATACTCCATATAATTGGTACAAACCCTTACAGGTATTACTTGTAGCATACTTCTGGAAATCCTCATCTGATCATAATTGCTGGTACGCATGGCTCATGTCCAGCTTTGTGAAGGACAGCTCCCCACATGCCCGCCACTTTTGTGTAGAAGTCCTTTATGCGAGTATTTATCCAGCTGCGAATTGCGGTTGACTGTTTGTTTGAAATTCCTCACAAAGCCGAACCAACTCATCAGCTTCATAATCAGTATGACTGGTACTGCCCATTCTGAAAACTGTACTGGTTTGATGATTACTTCGCGTTCCAGTCTCCTGATTTCTGCCTCTATTTTTTGTATAGAAAGGAAATGGCACTGGGTGGGCCTTGCAGAATTGTGGAATTGCTTCTTTGGTCAATATGTAAGACCTTTCTGAAAAACCTCCAGGCATTTAATTCAGATTTCAATCAGGCAGCCATTTTCCAATTGAAAAATGTTGAATCTCTCAACAAATTTCACCCCATAAGACTTGGGCGCGAGCCTTTTATTACAATCAGTGGTAAGTGAACCAGCTTCTACTCCTAAGGCACCGGAACCGAAGCTGTACCCTTAATCTATAGAGTTTCCCCAACTTAAGTCTGCGTAAGATCTTGGCCAGGCTAAAAAACCTAAGGGTTGGAGTCCAGAACGAATTGAGTTCTGCAATCACTGATACAGCTCAGAATTAGAGCAGGCTGGGAACTGTAACATTTCTTAGCTAAATCTGTTAACTCTGAAAAAGTTTCAACATCTGGAGCCTCAGGGTGTTAGGCTTTTAACAACTGAAGAAGCTGCAGGTCCACAAGCTGTCAGAGGATTACTCATTGATTTTCATCTGCCTCAATGTCATTTGCTGGAAAAGATAACACATTCTTTCCACATACTGGGCTCCATTGTCATGCAGGATTGCATGAGTCAAGCTTCCCAACGATGCCAAGAATGCTTACCTAAACTGACAAGGCCGCTGTTGCGGGGCACATCTCTCCGGGGGCAGGTGGTTCTCTCATCGCCACTGACGTACCTCCACAAAGACAGAGACACACACTGACTGACAGACACACACACACACGCGCGCACACACACACAGAGACACACACACATAGTACGATCAGTAAAATGGCAGAGCTAAATTTCTGAATGGCCTAACTCTACCTCAACAAGCAAGCACAGCTTGGCAATTAGCATAATCATTTTACTTTATAACACCAAATATTTAAAATTTTTCTTTATGTATCCATTTTTAACTAGAACAAATCATTACTATTAACACTAATGATTTTTCACTTAATTTTTTTTGAAAATACTTGTTAAAATCAAGAATCCTTGTGCTATTTTGTGAGAAATTAACTTTCTTGCAGAAGACGACACCTTAACATGCGATTCAGCTGTATTCCAGTTCTCTTATACATTTTGATTAGACGGCTGTTGTTGTAAATAAACATTCCATCCAAGTTTCTCTTCTCAACGTTCACTCCAAAAATAAAAGTCAATCTATGTGGGACTTTCAGTGCTCTAGAAATGAGAAGTCAAATCAGAAATTGTGTGTTTCAGGTAACATTCGTGGCATGGCATTATACATTGTAACAAATGACGCTTCCAATGATATTTTTGCATTCTCGTTAAATGGTCTCAAAAATGGAAATTGGCGCTTTCAAGATACTTGAAGAATTCAAAATTACTTCCAGAAATGCATATTTGTAGCATTAACTAATTTATTTTTTCATATTTAAAATACCAACATTAAAACTGACAAATACAGTGGCACAATGCACTTCCATTCCAATGTATTGAGGCTAACCAAGGATCCTCACAGAATCCCTACAGTGTGGAAGCAGGCTATTCAGTCCACACTGACCCTATCCTTGTATTTCCAACCCTAGACGCTGTGGGCAATTAGCACAGCCAATCCACTTAACCTGCACATCTTTGGACTGTGGGAGGAAATGCATGCAAACACAAGGAGAATATGCAAACTCTACACAAACAGTCACCCAAGGCTGGAATCAAACCGGGGTCCCTGCTGCTGTGAGGCAGCAGTGCTAACGACTGTGCCACCATGCTGCCCTCCTGTTTAACGTTTTCAATCTTGAAAGAGATAGTCACAAATGTTAGAAATTTTCCCCAGCATGCAAAGTTAGTAACTAACCAATATTAAATTCAAAGTGGGTTTGCAATTAAATTACAGGATACCTTAGCTTTTCTTGATGCAGTTTCCTCTTTATGTCTAAGTCTCTCTCTGACTTTGATAATTTACTGTGAGCATTGACGAGCTTAAACATATTTTGAAAAGAAAATATCTTAAATCAGTTAGAAAACAAAGGGGAAAAAAAAATAACAGCAAGCTATTGAAGTTACAAAGGGAGCATTTCTAAAATAGGAGCACAAGAGGGTGGGGGAGGGGAAGAAGGGGAAATGTGGTGTTGGAGGGAAAAAGGAAAAGGAAAAAAAAGGTTGGTGGAGAGATAAGGGTGGAGCTTGGGGGATGGGGAGTGTCCAGCTCCAGTCACATTCTCCCAGTTGAAGAGGAAGGGCAGGGGGTGTTTGCACCATTTTCTGCTGCCTCAGGGATCGGGGTGGTAGTGGGGGGGGGGGGGGGAGAGGGGAATGGTGACATTTTCACATTGCTGCCTGTAGACTCTTGCTGTGCATGGACTAGCCTGCAGTTTATTCCTACATCATTGTGGCAGCGGCCACTTCAAAATTTCAAGTGTTGGCATCTCCACACGTGCTGCTATATTGCCTGTGACATCAGTAACAGTGAAGTCCCAGGCAGCTCTGACATTGAGAATGGGTGGATCTGAGAAAGAAAGAAGAGAACACCGAACACTCTTCTCATTCCTTTCTTCTAGCCCACTGATCTCTCCCAATCTCAAGGTCCAGCTTCCAAGCTGTCCATCTCCTGCCGCTACACCCCTTGCCACTTCCTCCTGTTTGAACAGTAGGGAACAGTAAAGAGAGCAGCAAAGAGAGTTCCAGAGGAAAAGCCATTAAACCTGCGAATGAGATGCACGTCTGCTTCAAAATGGCATTCCAATATGACTAGTACATTCATCTCCAAGTGTTAAAAGTCCTTCCTTTTTATAGGAAGATGCAAAAGAAAGCTAGAATTTGACTGTTGCTAAGTAGGCAGAAGTATCTAGAAATTGTTTACCTGAGCTTCCATGTTGCCGTCACAGGACTTTTCCAACTCCTTCACTTTAAATCTTGCTTCATGTACATATTCCTCTGCTACAAATACCAATTCAAAGCCATTCATGTCAGTTCTACAGAACTCTAAAACATTCAAACCATTTCTAATAATGTTTACTTGTGTTTTTGCTCTTGTGTAAATTCTGCTTTCAAATTACACTGTTGCATTTTATTTTTCCAGAGTGTAATTCCAATCCTACGGACAGAATCTAATATAAGCCTGAATGATATGGGATATGACCAGAGAGGTGGGAGAATTGTGTGAGAAGTGAGGCAAGGCCTTTCTTGACATCAGGAGCTACTTGTCACATTTTAAAAGAGAGTACCAGACACGTGGATGAGGTTCTCGCCATAGCGCAGCAAGATGCCTGTGAAGGCGGATTATTGCTCGCTAAAGGCCTCAATAACATTGAGTCTGATCTCATTAACATGAGTTTCCTAGTCTACCAGCTGAAGAAACGAGATGGTGACAATTCCTGACAAAGTCAGAGCTAGTACTTGGTGACTTCAGTTCGCCATCTTGGACATCCAGCAACAAGATTTCAGGGCACAATCCAGGGCACCAGCCACGTGCATCCCACATCCACAGACACTGACATCCAACAACTGCCAGCCTGTCAGAACGTTCATGACACCTCTCCAATCCATTTGCAGGACCTTTCTGCACTCGAGTTGTATTTGGATCTCCCAGCAACTATTTCCGCTGTGTTACTACAAGGGCATTTTGCGTGCATGAACAAGCACCCAGCTCATGAATTGGACCAACGTGTATCTCAGGGCTGCTCGCTTAACGTTCACTCACTTAGTGACTATCTGGATATTCACAGAATACTCATATACGCTGTGCTGTGTCTTTTATTGCAATGGCACTTCAGCCAGAGCCTAAAGACTGTCAGTACTATTGTATTGACTTGCTGTTAAGCACACATGCAACACCAGGCTACTTGTCATGCTCATCATTCCAGAGAATGGAAATTTTGTTGTATATGTCAAACACATATCTAAATATGCTAACTGCCTACTCAGCAATATGCTGCATGATTTCTCAACCAACCAGTCATATTGCAAAGCATACAAAGGGGGTAATCCTCCATCAAGCCAAAAAGTGCTCCTGTAACCCAAGGGCTCCTGGTGCCATCGATCAAGGACAGAATCACAATCAGTGGTCACAGTCAGGCAATACATCACATTACAGTCCAGGGAGTGGATTAAATTCAGTGTTGCAGGGCCTTTACAAGTATTGGGATCATTCTTACCATCAGTCAGGGAGCTGAAAGGGCAACAGTCAGGATCCTGGAGAGTCCTTTCCTGAATCTGTCAGGAGACTAGACAGCAAATCAGTGCTGGGGTTCATATACTGAGCAGGATCTAGGGGGGCTTAGAGTGCTGGGGTTGGGGTAGGGGGAGGGAGGAGGAACAAGGTAAATGAATGATCATTTAATAGAGTCTGGGAGCATTTAAAGCTAGGGGTGGGAAGAGCAGAAGCACGTGTTGGGATGGGGACAAGAACGGTGACGGGGCAAGTTGAGGTATAAACGGGACAAAAGCTGTACAGAATAAGACAGCATGAAAGGCTGTAGGAGGAGAAGAGTGTGTTGGCAGTGACCGGAACCATGGCTTTCACAGTTGGCACAGGGAGAGTTGTGAGTGGTGGGTTTCGACATGGGGAGGCTGGTCATTGAGGAAATGGGCTGTGATGGAAGCACAAGTGGAAATTTGAGCAGTACCTAATGACTAGGCCAAGCCTGATGCAGAAGGTGTCCAACACGAACCTTCACCTTATCATCACTCATTGTTTAATAGAAGCAACCTACAATTTTAAAATGTCTAGGCCAATGGTCAGAGCGGGAAGAGTCACTGATTGGCAAAAGCACGACCCAACTTCTTCTGGAGGTGGGGCAAAGGCATTAATCATATTGTTACAAAATCAGTGACACCTCACTTACAATCACATTATCGAACACATGAAATGCAGTCAGCCTGAAAAACAAGTTTGGAGTTGAAAAGCTGGTTACAGGTGATGTCCACCATGTCACTGGCCCTTGTAAATTGCACACAGATTTCAGTGAAGCAGGTATTATTTATTAATAGAGGCAATACTGACCACAATCAATTCAATACTTGCAAAACTTAAGGGAACGGCGGGGGATGCACTGAGTACAATGAGAGACATGAGTGCATGCAATGATAACTTCCATGGCTGATGTGGGGCTGTGCAGGAAGACTTAAGAATCCATGGAACAATCTCTGAGAGATAGTAAGAACTGCCGATGCTGGAATCAGAAATAACACAGTGTTGAGCTGGAGGAACTCAGCAAACCACGCAGCATTAGAGGATGCCCATTTTTGAAGAATGGTCCCGACCGAAAACATCAGCTTTCCTGCTCCTCTGATGCTGCCTGGCCTGCTGTGTTCCTCCAGCTCCACACTGTATTATGAAACAATCTCTGTTGTGTTGCACAGAGAGGAGAACTTCATATGTGACTTTTGTATTCATGTTGCTGCATGTTTCATTGTGTTGATAAGTATGTGCAGGCACTATTGTAGGGTGGTAGCACAGGCCCTACTCTGGGCTAAGAACACAGCCTGTTCCTTATGTTCCCAACATAGGTCACTGCTATCAGAAGCCATGGATGCAGCCAGAGGTAGAATGTTGACTGCAGTGGCTGCCTTGCCACGAATGTGAAGGCAGATCCTGAAGCAGCAGTTTCAACAGCAACCCCAGGAACAGCAACAGCAACAAGCTACTGTGGAGGCAGAAAAGCACCTCAGGTAGCGGTAGCAGCTATAACGCTCTTCAAGATGCCTTGTGAACACAGGTGGCCAGAGATTTTTGGCCCTGATTCCACTTCCTAGGTATGAGTGAGATGCAATGATGCAGGTCCCGTATGTCCTGGGACAATATAATGGAAGTGTGCTGGATGCTAAAGTGAAGGAATATCCTCTCCCAGTTGCTGTGAAGGTAACACCTGCTTTGACCTTCTACACAACAAGTTTCTTCCAAGGAGCAACAAGTGACCTATGTAGAATCTCTCATGTGTGCTCCTACATTGAATCAGGACAGTGACTGACACCATCTGAGCTGGTTCATTTTGTTTTCCCACAATGAGGTTAGTGCTGCAGCTCAAGTAGTATGACTTGGGAACGTAGCTGGCTTTTCCCAGGTGTAGGGTGATATCAACTGGTCACATGTGGCACCAAGAGGGTCATATCACAACACCACAGAATTCATCAATAGGAAGGAGCTCCATTCGATCAAAAGGTAGGCAGTCTGTGGTCACCAGTTCCCGAAGATGTGTGCCTGTGACCCTGTTACCTGCCCTGACTCCTATTTCCTGCAGCACCCTCACGTATGTGATGCATGAGGATCAAAGTGTCTTACAAGTCTGGTTACTGAGAACATGGGCCACTCACTGCCACCAAGGTTGATGAAAGCATTGTGCAACTCCCCCCTAAGTGATATGGAGTGTGCCACATCATCCTGGAATGCTGTGCTCTGCATAATTGGAGCAGGCAAAGAGGTAAAGTGTTGGATGATGAGGAAATGGTTGAACAGGAAGATGAGGACATTAAACTAAAGCAAGCTCTCCTTGTGCATTATAGGGCTCAGCTATGTCAACCTACAAGCTATGCAGGTCCTGACTGACACCCAGTTTCAGTGAATGAGAGCCGGTAGTAGTAAACAATAGTAATGTTAACTAATTGTTGTTCAACACAATAGCTTTTTATTTACATTGTGGGCAAACTTCAGCCTCTGTTGGTTTCATTTATGCTTTTTTTTTGTTGACTGCAAGTAACAGCTTTTCTTCAGAAATATCGGAATACTTGCCTGTTTGTGACAGTTGCCCAGTGAATTAAGATAAGATGCTGGTGTGCAGTGGACACTGAGCACAGAACCATGGCGCTTTAGAAAAGTTGGTTAATAAGATATGGCCAAGGCAGGGTAAGCTGGCAGACCTGCTGGATGGGCAGCAAGTGAGTAAAGAAAGTGGAGCTGAAAGAAATCCAGATAAGTGCCATGATCAGCCTGTGCTTGGGATTGCAGAGCCATTACATTGGCCGATGAAGGGCAACTCAGCAAAGCCAATGCTTGGCCAGGCATTTGGCTGGGGTTTAGAAGTGGCACTAGCATCATGGATGCTAGTCAACTCCCGGATAGCCGATGAATGGTAGATTCTTTTGGCTATGGCATGATGGCAGAAATCAGACTAGCATCAAACAATAGGGGTGTCATATTGGTGTGGAAGGTCTTAGGCTCACAGAGAGAAACCCTCCGTGAAATGTGATGGAATTGACATTGCCAAAATATTGAGAGATTCATCCCAAGTATTTTAATATTCAAATAAAAACATAGCATGGACCAGAAGAGAAAAATAATTGAATCTAATCTAAAAAGTGGACAAACGCAGTAACCATCGAGAGTTCTAGTGACAAAATATTATCTGTTAGGTGTGACTCTAATTTTCTAACATGAATCTCAACTTCTTATAAATTACTTGAGAACTGTTATTCAAGTCTCTATCAACTAAACAAGAAAAGTGTAACAAGAGCAATTGCATTACTACCATTTGGTAGTAATTAGCAGAACTAAAAGTAATGCCAACAAAATTCAGGAACGACCCCTTAATAGCACAGTGGATAGTTTCATCATATATCTAACAGTGATGCATTTAAATACAAAGTTCCAATTTCAATTCCTGATCTCTGAACAAGTAAAGGGAAGGGAAAATTAGTTACAGCCTATTTTTGATCATTGTAAGCAATTTGGCAGCAAATGTATGTCCATCGAGATGCCACATTCTGAGGGAATTTGATTCAGTTCTTATTCTGCATTAACACCTACCTATTTTCACAGCACATTCTGTGTCCTTTACCTCTCTCAAAGGACGTACTTTGAAACCTTTGGCAATATAAATGTACTTCCTACAGAGATAGCAATAAATGAAAATTAAGCATCAAGTCACTATTTTAATGTCAGTTATGCTTCATTTGAATAGAGTCAGTTCTAGCGAACAAATCCCATCTTCTTGTCAGCAACTCATTTGATTTCACATGGATTATTATCAAAAATTACTTAAATCTTATGAATTTTTTTTTCAAATCTTTGCAATAATGAAATGCAATGCTTAAAATATATACACCAATAAAACTGAAAAGAGGAAACAATAGATATTCAATAATTAGAATTAAATAGTCAGTTATCTTGGCAGTTTAAAGAATGCTTTAAATGATTAGCTAATTGGAGCAGCTTTCATCCCTGTGCACAGAACAAAGAGGCTTCAATTCAGATTTCTCCTTGAAGGAACTGCAGTTAAGCTTTAAAACTTCTTTAAAACTTATGTAGAACTTCATAAGGGCTCTAAAATTTGTGACATTAGTCAGCTATTTTCTTACCTAGGTCTATACAAGGAATGGACGAGGTATTTAGCATGAACCTTTTGCCCCTGAATAAAAATCTTCATGCGAGGGTCAATGTATAATATTGCAGCATAGGCTCTAAAGGAATATTGTTCTGGTTGGCTGAAATATGACAGATATAATTACAGTACTATGTAATGTAACCACAATATCACAGAATACTATTAAATAAAAATATAGCACTTAAAATATTGCACATTTCAGGGGTTTATTTACAAAATATCTTCCAAAAAGATCTTTGATTTAGTTCTGTGTTATAAATTTATACAAATATGCAGAATCTTAAGTTGCCTGTCGTTTTATCTTTGGAGAACTTGCAGTTAGGAACTAATTTTTTTTCCCCCTGTTTTTATTCATTCATGTGACACTGGCTTCACTGGTTGGGTCAGCACTTATCACCCACCCCAATTGTCCTTGAGAAAGTAAACAGCCTTCTTGAAACGATGCAGTCTATTTGATGTAAGAAACCCACAACGTCATTATGGAGGGAGTTCCAGGATTTTAACCCAGCGACAGCAAAGATATGACAATAGATCTCCAAGTCAGGATGCAGAATGATTTGGTAGCGAACCTGCAGGTGGTGGTGTTTCCATGCACCTGCTGCACTTGCTCTTCTAGACAATATGTATTTAACCCATTTAAAAGACAACCTTGTTTTGATTATTTTAAATAGCAAATGATGATCAGTGCAAAAATCACTTAAGACAGTTAAACCTCAAGTAACCACCACAAAAAAAACACAACGCTCTCAGCATAAAATAAGGCTACACGCTCTGAACTTTGACAGCTGTCCCTTTTCCAACTGCCTACATCAGTGTCTATTAAAATCCTTAACAATTCAGATGCTAATAGCCTGCATAAGTTTATAATTGCCTGTAGTCACAATTGATGATGATAAAAAGCACATGTCAACTTCATTATTACAACCTACTTTGAATATACCCACCCATCTTCAAAGTTTATTGCTGTCAATTCCAATGAAAATCCTAATGGCAGGAACACACCTCCCTGACTGATTCTCCCCTCTATCACCCACCATACCCCAACTTCCAGTAAATATTATAATATTTAAAATTGATAGTCATGTTTCAGCTGTCAGGCATACCCAGTAATCTTCATTCTCATTTGAAGACAACCTCACTGAATTATTTACCTTGCTGTCCATTCTAAATCATCTATTGTTCTTGGAAAAGCAGAATCACAAGAAACCATTATTCTGCTTTTACAACTGACTGAGCTGTCTTGCAAATGACATTTCAGTGCTGACACATCAGGTGAGTTTGTGTTTTCCATTTCATTACTTACATTCCACTGGCCATCATTCCAGTCAGTCGTATATCAGAAGCATCTGTTTCAATATCTAGTTCAGGTACTCCATCATCATTCAGTTTCATGTTGTAGATAACGACTAAAGTTCCTATTAAGAAAATGTATTAATTAAAACAATTAATTTTAATGTGAGGCCAGGAGATGACATAGTAATAGTAGGTACATGGCAGACAGGCAAAGCTTGGAGTGGAAGAAAAGCTTAAATAATAGATTTCTCAATGAAACAAAGAAACAAATGATGTCAAGTGTCAGTACACATGATCTTTAAATATTTCTTTAAAACCCTAGTTTAGCTTTTAAAAGATCAAATTGAATTCTTATACAGTCACTTGGTAGTACAGATTTTGAGTATTGCTGAAACAGAGATATGCTTTACATCTTTCATTACTTAGAATGGAATATCAAGAATACCAAATCTCAAAAGGAAACAATGAATTCTACTCCAAGAGGGGTCGGAATGGCTGGTAAGTGGATTGATCAACAGAGGCTTTGCAATGGAGAGAATGTACTAGGGTACAGTTAACTGCTAAAATTGCAACTCTGGTCAGGGCATTTTTGCAGGTAGTAAGTCAGGGAATGCCTGCTCCCCAAGTTTTTGTTCAGTTGAGAAAGGTGCAATACATATTGTGTTTACAAAGGGCAGAGCCCTACATTTGAATATGTGTGGCTTCTAGCACGCATCTGTCAACCAAAGAGAGTCCGGCTGATAATCCAAAATTGGATCACTGTGCAATTCTTAGCACTATTACTCAGCAAATATTATGGAATAATGGAATGCATTCAATATTGCAGAGTCACAGAGGCCTACCATACAGAAAAAAGGCCATTCAGTTCATCAAGTCTAGGTGGGTTAGCCATGGGAAATGCAGAGTTACTGGGATAGGGTAGGCAGATGGGCCTGGGTGGGATGCTCTTAAGGGTTGGCATGGACTCGATGGGCCAAATGGCCTGTTTTCACACTGTAGGGATTCTATGAAGTCTGTGCCAGTCAAAAACAACCTAACTAATCTAATTCTATTTTCCAGCACTTGGCTCATAGCCTTGTATGCTTTGGTCAGAGGTTGGTTAGCTCTATTAGTTGGATGACTGGTTTGCAATACAGAGCTATGCCAACTGGTGTGGGAATTGAATACACACAATGGAGGTTACCAGGCGGAACTCTCCTTTTCAATCTCTCCCCTCACCTGAGGCATGGAGATCCTCAGGTTAAACCATTGCCAGTTGTCCGTCTCTCTACAGTCTAGCAGGATTATAGTGACTTTATGAAGGTTTCAGCCTCTACCATCCTTGTAGGCAATGAGTACCAGATTCCCATCACTCTCTGGGTAAAAAAACGTTTTCCTCACATTCCCTCAAAACTTCTGCCCCTTGGTCAATGATCCCTTCACCAAGGGGGAATATCTCTTTCTGTCTACCATATAAATGCCTCCCATAATTTTATACATCTCAATCATGCCCCTATTCAGTCTCCTCTGCTCCAAGAAAAACATACCTAGTCTATTCAATCTCTCTTCATTACTAAAACTCTCCAGCCCAGGCAACATCCTGGCAAATGTCCTCTGCACCCTCACCAGTCCAATCATAGAAAATGTGGATTCCAGAACTGCACACACTACTCTCGCTGTGGTCTAACTAATGTTTTGTACTGTTCTAACATAATCTCCCTGCTCTTAAACTCCATGCTTCAGCTAATAGAGTCAGGTATCCAACATGCGTTCTTAACCAATTTATCCATCTGCCCTGATACCTTAACGAACGAATGGACACATTTACCAACTTTCCTCTGATCGTCAATGCACCCAGGGTCATAAAGCTGACCATATATTCCCTTGCTTTATTTGTCCTGTCCAAATACATCATCTCACACCTATCTGGATTGAATTCCATTTGCCATTGATCAGCCCATCTACATCGTCCTGTAATCTAAGGCTATTGTCCTCATTATTTACCACCTCAAATTTTCATATCAACACAGTGGTCTAAGTTTGCAAGTATGGGTTGGTTGATTACAAAGAGCTTGTTCTGTGGCAAACAGCCAAAGAAGTGTGCTGTTTGATATGATTCAACAGTTCTTGGTCGCATGATCTTCATATCTGGCATATACAAAATTAGAAAAAAAGACATGCAGTTGAAGCTTTTGTGTCTTGCACTCACCAGGAGAGAATCAAGAATAAATAAACCTCAAAAAGGAACAAGACATTGAATACAAATGAAGGAGAAATGTTACTGAATTTGCAAATCAATTAGGCTGCAGTTGGTGTGTTGTGTACAGTTAAGGAGAACAAATAACAAAAGATATTGGAGTCATGTAAAAATTTCAGTGCAAATCTAATGGGAGGAAAACAGGTATTTAACTGGAAGTAGATGTATTGGATCAGCAGGAAGTTTCATCCATCAACATAGTTGAAGGAAATTATGTTCTATGGTTTTCGCCACTGTTGCCACCCTTGGATCTGTATGAAACAGAGCTAGATGATGCACAATCACAAGACTCCACATAGGACATGTGAAAGTCACTGTAGGAACAAATTACTGTAGATGCTAGAATCTGTACTGGAAACAAGAAATGCTGGTGATCACAGGAGGTCAGGCAGCGTCCATGGAGAGAAAGTAAATTAACCTTGCGAATCTAGATGACTCTTCATCAGAACTCTGAAGAGTCATCCAGACTCTAAATGTTAGCTTGCTTTCTCTCCATGGATGCTGCCTGACCTCCTGTAATCGCCAGCATTTCTTGTTTCCAGTACAGATTCCAACATCTGCAGTAATTTGCTCCTACAGTGACTTTCACATGTCCTGTTGTGCAAGGTTATGCACGAGATAGAAAGACAAAGGGAAACATGAATTTTACAAAAGATTGGAAGACACACTGGATGAGGCACCCAACTTTGATGATCAAGTTGTGATGAGTGACCTCAATGCTGAGCTCAATGTCATCTGACAGATTGAACTGTACAAACATGCCCCACATCTCAACAAGCCAGTTCATCAGAAAAAGCAAAGTCAGATGGTCTTTTGTAACATCAATTTGGTTTCAACACTGGGATTATCTCCTAACATCATCATTCAGAGCTATTAATAATTTATTGAAGTTTGGTTTCAGCCAGTGAATTTCAAAGGAGTTTACTAATTTGTATGTACAATATATAAAATACAAATATTAACAAGTTTTGATGACTTCCATGACTGAGTAAAATAATTCAGTGGCTATTTATTATACTGCACATGTCCTTACCACTTGTTCCTGTAATTTTATTAAACTGCCGCATCACATCAAACTCCTTTTTAAATGGAGAATATTTATGAACGAGTGCAATTTCAAGGGAGAACTTTTCTTTTTCAGTTATCATGGGTTCCTTACTTGCAACATACCAGGATGGCATCGGCACAATCACCTAGAAAACCAACACAAAATTCATTTGGAGTATTGTGTACAATTCTGGTCACCTGCCATAGGAAGGGTGTTAGTAAACCGGAAAGAGCGCAAAAAAGATTTACAAGGATGTTACAGAGACTGAAACGTTTGAGTTATAAAGGAGAGGCTGGACGGACTGGCCTTTCTCCCCTTCCCCACAACACCCCCCCATCTCCCCACCCCCAGAGTGTATAGAGGTTTGTAAGATCATGAGGGACATAGATAAGGTGAATAGCCTTATCACCAGGGGTAGGGGTGTCTAAAGCTACAGAGCAGAGGTTTAAGGTGATAAGGGAAAAATCTAAAAGGGACCTGAGAGACAAGTCTTTTTTCCGTTATCTTTCTTTTTTTAAAAAAAAATAGAATGATGCGTATATGGAACGAGCTGCCAGAGGAAGTGGTCGAGGTGAGTACAATTACAAAAGATATTTGGACAGGTACATGGATACATTTGAGGGATATGGGAAAATGCAGGAAAAAGGGACTAGTTCAGTTAAGGAAACTTGGTTGGCATGGACAAGTTGGGCCACAGAGCCTGTTTCCATGCTGTATGATGTTATTCATTAAGGGCATTTTTAAAAATCACAAACACTTTTATATTCTCAAATGCAAAAATGCTAGTCACTTTATATTTCTGCTTGAAATGTCTAACCAGCACAAAATAGGCACTGAAAAATGCCACAAGATTGATAATACTTTAGTGTGGCTTGTGCACCTTATTTTTAAATAGTGAACAGTTTTTCACTTCTTTACAACAAAAGTATGCTAACAATTCCGCACCAAAGGAAAGTTAGATGATTTGTGTGCAAGTTGGTCACCAGATTGCACTGAATACCATAACAGATGGTAATCTAGAAAGAGTCCACATCTGCCAAATCCTGAATATCAATGTTGCAGGCAAATATGCTAAATATATTATGATTTCAAAAACAACCTGCTCCTATGATGCTGCTTGGCCTGCTGTGTTCATCCAGCTCTGCACCTTGTTGTCTCGGATTTTCCAGCATCTGCAGTTCCTACTATCTCGCCAAGAAAACAGCTGCTTGCTAATATTGTGTTAGGAACTCTGGAGCTGAAATTACTTGAGCTTTGTAATGTGCTCATCTCATGCTCAGCGGAAGGAAGAACAGCACAAACAGATCATTCAGCCACACCCACAGGGGACACAGGTTCAAGGTCAGAGGGAGAAAGTTTAAGGGAGATATGCGAGGTAAGTTTTTCACACAGAGTGGTAGCAGCCTGGAATGCACACCAGAAGAGGTGGTGGAAGTGGGCATATTGAAGACTTTTAAAAGGCACCTAGATGAGTACATGAATAGGGAGGGAATAGAGGGATACAGATCTAAACATGGCAGGTTTTTTTTAGATTAATTAGGCACGATGGTCAGCACAGGCTTGGAGGGCCGAAGGGCCTGTTCCTGTGCTGTACTTTTACATTTGTTCATATGGTCTTGCAAAGTATTAAGTCTCTGTTTATACTTTTACATCGTCAAAGAGGATGAAGGCAAGGATTCTGCTTTCAAAGATTTGGTGGACAACTGAAGGTTAGTATGGTCAGTGAGATAATAACACCAAACTCTAAGGGCAAAAGCAGGTCATACCTCAGAATGGGATTCCACCTAGCAATTTTAATGATCAATAAGTAAAATTTGAGGTCTTAATTGTGCAGTGGTTGCGTCCCTACCTCTTAGTCAGAAAATCCAGGTTTTGAGTCCGTGCTAGGACCTGTTGACAATGGAATGTGCAGTTGAGATATAGTTAAACAGGCTGATTGCCCTGAGAATAAGAGTGTTTTTGTTGGTTTTGGACATAGGTTAAAACTATTACCAAACCTAGAGTGTTTGTATTGAATAATGTTCACTAAGAACTTAAAATGTCAGAAACAGCTTTTATACTACTGTTTCAGTAATACTCAAGTTCTGTACTACGAAATGACTACTTATCTTTTGGCTGGCCACTTAACTATACTATATGAAAGGCATATGAAGGCAAAGGGGATATCTGACACAGTCTACACTCTCATTTTCTCAGATCCAGGATGAATCAGAGAGCCAGCCAAGCTCTTACGGGATCAGACAGAAAACAAAATGGTGAAAATAAAGTTCTCTCTCACTTACCTCATCAATACCTTCTTTCTCATAAAATGTTCGAGACATAAGGATGCATGTCATGGTATTGTCTTTTTTGGTAAAGAGAATGAAATCCATTCCGATCCTCATTGAACCACTGAAAGTAGTAAGTCATAATTAAATACAGAGGAGTAGCTGATTGTGATTCACACAGCTGTAGTATTATAACAATTTAACAGAACAGCTACAACTTATTTTTGCAGCTTTTTGTCAGGTTGCTTGTTCACAAACTTAAAATCCACAGAAATTGAGAGTTATGTTGGCAGTAAAAGGATGATGATATTTCTGATAATGAACAAGTTGGTGGAAAATGCAATTCAATACAGAAAATTAGTGAAGTAACATATTTTGGAATAAGGATAAAAATTGGTGTATTTCTCAATATAGCTTGAGAACACAAGGACAAGATGTATAACTACATAAGTCTGAGAAAAAGTTGTTTGCCCAAGGTCTTCAAACTCAATGAGTAGAACCATTTTAAAATTTAGTCAAAAAGTCTAAAGAGCCACATTGTCATTATTGACACAATAATAATGAAAAAATTCATTTGTGAATTTCTCTGCAACAATTCTACACAGGCTCATAAATATTTGGTTAACATTCCAGAGAATTTGACAAGTTGCTAAATTGAAGACGTTTCCTTAAAATGCTAACAAAAGTTTAAAAACAAATGAATCAAGCCATTTAGTTGACATGAATAGCATTCTTAAATTTGAAAAAAAAACCTCTTACTTTAAGGTGATTTCTGCTCCTAGAATTTTTGGATAATCATTTAATATCTGGACAGTGTTGTCATTGGCAAACAGGGCTATGATTTAAGCTTTCAATTGGATTCTCAATTTATGAAACTCAGTTTAAAACAATTACTCACACTGGAGCTAAATTTTATCTCAACCAGTTAGCAGGTAATATCTGTTCTCATTTTCATCATTCTATCCCTCAGGCTTCACAGATAAAGGCATGTCTTTAATTATGAGAATTTTTTCCTTTTTTTAAAAAAAGATCACTGCACAGCTGAGTCTGAGATTTAGATACATCACTCTTATACAGATTCACATCAGTGTATGACTTTCCTCATTTCACAATATGATTTTCCTCATTTCACAGCCTATTAAGCTGTCATAAAACTAGTTGAGCCACAGAATAACTTCACTCAACCAGTGACTGCTTTCCTGTATTTCTCTGCCTTTTTGAAAAACTTCTCCAAAGCTTTCCTTTATGGTTCTATAGTTGGATAATACTTAGCTTGGGCACCATGCTGTAGTGAAATGCGTCAAAATTTGTTTTCTCATTGTTGGTGACTTTTCTTTGGTAATAAAATATACTGGATTTGGGATGAATGAGAATCAACTATCTTGAAATTCTTGCTTTTCCTTCTTTATCATTATTTCCCAAGCAATCTCAAAATAAGGGCCAAAGAAAGTATGTTCTTACAATCTTTGAACTGCCTGCTTGCACATAATGCATGTATTATCCAACATAGACTCAATGCCAGGACCAAAGTGAGTGTACTCTTTTCCTGGTTAATACATCTACCTGTCTGCACATGCACATTAGTACAGCATAAAGAATATTATGGGCATTTGTGTAATAACTGATAGATCATCACTCAAATTGTACACCTAGCCAAATGAGAAGCACTTACCCATTGTACCAATCAGCTTCCAAGTATGGCAACCAATCAGAATACACAATTTTAAGCAATCTTTTTGAATAAGACAACCAAGGCCAAAGTAAGTACAATGCTTTATTTCTAAATGCAGGCAGGCACATATGATCCACGTGCCTGGACGACAGGTATTAGTGCAGTATGCCACTTCCCAGTGAAACATTTGTCAAGAATAATTACTAGATAGGTGATGATTTTCTTTGCATGTTTCCTCATTGGGAGCATAATGTCAAGAGTTCCTTGAAACCTCATGGCAGTCAATGTTTAAAAGGATGCTTTGGATCAAGAACGATTTACCATTTGCACACCAATCCCCAAGGTTGTCAATGCATGTCCTGAACAAATTGAAAACCTGAAGTTTGTTTTTTTTCAGGAATTCCTGAAAAACAAACCTACAGGACATGATGACCATTCAAAATATCAGGTTTAAGTCTTAACTGGAATTCTGCATGCAAGTTTGTGCTGCGTACTACAGGAAAAATTTAACTGTGCTAGGGAGAACTGCAATACACTTTGTATTTGGTAAAAAATTTTCAAATGCTGAAAGGAATAAACATGGTCAGTATAGGTTAATTTTTCTGTAGTTAGTGGGGTTAGAGGTCATGAATTTCAACACCAAGCTTCACTATTATGGCATTAAAACTTCCATTTCTTTCCCAAGGATCTCCATCACCCATCTTGGACTTCCTTACCCATCCTGTAAAACTTAAGTCAAAATCCAAGCTGGGAACAAGTATGTTGCATTTCCCAGTCCCCATTTTGTTCTCCTTTCTGTAAAGTCAGATAAATCTCAGGTTCAAACACATTTTATTTGGGACTTTACCAACTCAACAATTTCTTGAGAATGTTCCTACAAATTCCTGCCTTTCACTCTCCCAAAAGATAAATTAGCATAAACTGAATGATGTTTAAGTAATTGTACAATCTGTCTACACACCAACATTGTACCTTTTAAACTAGGTGCTTTTCTTTACATATAGCTTTGGCGTGAAGGGAAGTAGGGCGAAGATAGCAGAAGTTCCTTCTCTAATACAGTAATTTTCCCTATAAATGAGGGTCGTGTCAGAAGACTGAAAAGTAGCAAAGATCAGAAATCCTATTCAAGGCTAAAGATGCTGATGAAGGATGCCTTCCAGGTCACACACTCATGTTCATCAGGGTGTGCTGCCCAATGAGTGGGAGATGGCAGGAGGGGAACAGTGAGCCCACAGAAAAACTAAGGCTACACAGCATTAGAAGACAAATTGAGAGTGGAAATAAAAGCTAGATCTCACATGGATGAGCTGCCTAGTGATTACCAAACATTGAGTTAAAAGGAGGGAAACAAGATTTTAATGTTAGGAGTAGAATTAGCTAAGATTCTGTTTAAAATTGTAAAACTTCAATTAGATGTAAGAAAAGAGATAGAAAGGAAAGAAAATGAAAAGAACAATGGAATGGATAGGGAGAAAACAGAAATGTAAATAATAACGTTCGAATCGGAAAGTGAGGGGAAAAATGAACAAAGACAAATGGAAAGAGATGAGAACAATAAAAGGAAAATGCAATATTAAAAAGTTTGAAGTCCAAGAGAGAAAGAATTCAAACAAGACAAGCAGCAAAGGGCAATTTAGGAGCCCTCATGTATAAATCACAAAATGCTACCATAGAATTTCAGCAGGTAATAGGAAGGGAAATGGAATGATGCTTTTTATTTCAAAGGATTAAAGTATAAAAACAGATAAATCTTGCTCAAATTATTCAAGGCACCATGCCAGCCACAAATAGAACACTGAGAAGAGTTTTGAACCCCATATTGTTCAAGGAAAGATATTAGAGGCAATCCAGAGAAGATTTACTAAATCGATCCTTGACATGGAGGAATTTGAGGAGAGCTTGTGTAAGTTGGGCCTGTACTCAGTGGAGTTTAGAAAAATGAGAGGCAGCCTATTTAAAATAAAAATTATTCTTTGGGGCTTGACAGGGTAGATCCTGAAGGGTAGTTTCTATTTGAAAGAGTGTCTAGGACCAGAGGGCATAATCTCTAAGGGATCACCCAATTAGGACAGATTAGGAGGAATTTCTAATCTCAAAAAGTATGAATTTGTGGAAGATTTACTGGAGAGGGCTTTCCAAGCTGTGTCATTAAAAATCTCTTTCAGTCTGGAATATATTTAATCAGGAAGGGAATCAGGGGTTATAAGGATAAGGGAAGAGAGTGATGGAGTGTTATCAGATCAGCCATTATCTTACTGAATGGTGGAGCAGACTCCACCAAATGGCCTAATTTTCTGCTCCTACATCATATCATCTTATCAGTTAATAAAGAAATGAATTCTGTCGACTCAAATAGGCAAACAGTAATAAGAGAATTCTTTCATTACTTGCTTTCCCGCCCATTTTGTGTCATCCATAACTTGTCAATCATACATTCATTTTAGAAACAAACAATCACATTCAAACAGCAGAGCAAAACAGAAGAAAGTTGACAAGAATGTTTTCTTAATTCTAAAAATCAATCTCAAAGGTTTGAACTAATTTCTTCTGCAAAACTAATGACAAACTTCTCTGAAACTCACGACTTCAATCCATTTCCAAACCGCCCAACAAGTCGGGAATTTGAAGCCCTCTTTATAGACTTTCCTAAATGAATAATGTCTTCTGCTTCACCTGTGAAATGTAGAAATTTTGTTATAATCCTGTTTTCATATGTTTACTGTAATTTACAATAAACAAATAACATTTTTGTGCTGAATTTCTGGAACCTAATCGCCAAAGGCAATGGCTGAGAATTTAGAACTATGAACCTATCAATAAAAATTAATGCAGATTTTTGAAAGGTAGGTCACGTCCGACTATCCAAGCCCTGTTTTTTCTTGAAGTCACTACAACTGTCAACAGTATGATGTGCCCATGAATGGCGTTTATATAATTTCTATAATATCATAAGAAAATACAATTAAAAGAGCATGAATTGAAGGCAATTTGTGAAACAGGTCTGTAATTAGTTTAGAGATAGGGATAGAGTAAACTGAATGTTCCCTATTTGGTAAAGAGGTTTTTCAGCATATTTCGTTTAATTAGGGGAGGAAAACGGAATTTACGTCCAACTTACCTACATTAAGTTTTGTAGATAGGAGAAGGGAGCTATAAAAGGATACAATGTGACTAAGTGAACATGAAAATCTATAACAGATAAAGTCCAAGGTTCTTCTACATTAGGGAAGTGTAACATCATCCATTGTATACCTGATCATCTTCTTGGTCAGATATTAGAAGGAAGATTAATAGGATCTGGTGCTCATTTACACTCACTGTTAACAGTTAATAGGAACAAAACACAATCTTAAAGCTGAATGGAATTTTACGTCAAGGGGTTGGTATGGTTACCAGTTATAAAGGAAGGGGAAATTCTGGACCTAATATTCAGAATTAAGTCCAATCAGGTAGAAGGTGCATCAGCAGGGAAGCATTTTGCACACAGTGATCATAACTCAGTTAGATTTAGAATAGTTATGGAGAAATTTCAAAAAGATTTGGTCTGAGTGAATTGGAAGCAACTCCTTGTAAAGTATCAGAGCAATAGGAGGCTTTCAAGAAGGAAATAGCAAGAGGCCAGGGCAAGTATTTTCCCATCAAGATAAGGGTGGAGACTGGAGAAGCCTAGATGTTAAGGAACATAAAGTTTAGGACTAAGAAAATAAGCTTATTGCACAAAGAATATGAGACAGTCATTAAATGGAATATAAAAAGTGCTGGGAGAACTTAAAGGAAATTAGGAAAGCAAAGAGTGCAGCAGAAATCATTACAAGAGGAATTAAGAATAGTCCAAACGGTTCTTGAAAAAACATTATAAAAGAGCAAGAGAATAACTACAGAAAGAGTAGGGCCCATAATGGTAATCAGTGTGCAAATCCAGAAGTTGTGGGTGTGGTCCTCAAAATGGAAAAAGATGACGCAGGTGTAGACACCAGGGGTTTTAGCAGCCTTAAGAGTGAATAATGCCATGGGTCTTGTTGAGATGTAGTTTAGGCTGTTGGAGAAGGAGATAACAGGATCATTGACAAGCATTTTCAAATCCTCTGACCACAATCAAGGTGCCAGAGGACTGGAGTGTTGCTAACATTGTCCCATTATTTGAAACAAGACAGAGAGGGGAAGGTATAGATAGGGAAGGTATAGATAAGGAAGTTACAGGCCAGTCTAACCTCAATGGCATGGAAATTATTAGAAAGAATTCCTAGTGACAGAATTTGGAGAAAGTCAGATTAATCAAATACATCAGCATGGACCTGTTATGGAAAGACTGTTTGACAAATTTGATTGAATTTTGAGGTAACCGGAAACATCGACAAGGGCAATGTGGTCTACATGGACTTTGGCAGACTTTGTAAAGAAACCAAAAACCCACAGGATCCAAGACAAAGTGGTATTGGATCCAAAATTGGCTGAGAGGCGTGAAGGAGAGGGTGATGATAAAGGAATGTTTCTGTGACTGAAAATCTGTTTCCAGTGGGGTACTGTAGGGTTCAGTGCTGGGAACCTTGCTGATTGTGGTGTTCATTAATTATTTAGAATTAAATGCAAGAAAACTGATGAAGTAGTTTGCAGATAACGCCATTAATGAGGAGGATATCAACAGACCCCTCAGGTGGTCAGAATAGTCATAAATGAAATGGAATTCAAACCAGAAAACTAACACACTTGTGGAAGGATAACAAGGAAAGGTTTATGCTATAAAACAGCTGGATCCCAGAAAGTACTGAAGATCAGAGGGACGTTTGTGTACATATCCACATATCCCTGAAGGTACGAAGGCACATAGATAAAGTGGTTAAGGCAGTTTATAGGATATTTGCCTTTATTAGCAGAAGCATAGAACACAAGAGCAAGGAGGTTACGCTGGAAATGTATGAAATGCTGGTAAGGCTACAACTAGAATTCTGTGTGCTGTTCTGGTCATCATATTATAGAATGGATAATACTGCGCTAGAGAGGGTGCAAAGGAGATTTAACAGTGTGTTGACCAGACAGGAAGCTTGAGCTATTGGGAAAGGTAGGCTGGGATTGTGTTCCTTGGAACAGCAAAGGTTGATAGGGGACCTGAAAGAAGTGAATAGGATTAGGAAGGGCATAGATATGGTGGCTAGGAAGTTGACTTTTCCAAAAGTAAAAAAGTAAAGAACAATGCATTATCGATTGAAGGCAAGAGATGGAAGGCTAAGAGGAGAGCTTTGGAGAATGCTCATTATTCAGTGGGCAGTGGGAGCCTGGAACACAGTACCTGAAAAGGTGGTTAAGTGAGAAACTCTTGGAACATTTAAGCAATATTCAGATATTCATTTGCATTTCCATAGCCTCCAGGGTTTTGGGCCAAAAACCGGAAAATGGGATTAGTGTAGTCAGATCTGGTATAAATATGATGGGCTAAATGGCCTTCTGTGCTGTGCTGAGTCCATGAGGAAGGAAGTATTGTGCAAAACAAAAAACAACTCACTGACTTGACTCAATAATTCTCACAACTTGCACATTTTGATTATTAATCCAGAGGAGTCAGGCTAGAACTTTAAGTTAAATAAAAGCAAAGTACTGCAAATGCTCAAGATCAGAACAAAAAAAGTGCTGGAGCAACTCAAGTCGCGTAACATCTGTGGAGATAAACACATTTCAGAGCCCATATCCATAGTACAACCTATTGGACTCAAAACCTGAACTCTTGTTCTCTCTCCACAGATAATGTCAGACATGCAGAATCTGTCTAGACTTTTTAGTTCACTAATCCAGGATGAATATATTGAAAATATTTGAATACTTCTTTCAAATTATGTACAGGAATAACTAATTTATTATGATAACATTGTTAGAATTTCAAACTGAACTGTTGCTTTAATACATGCATCTTTATTTAATTAGTTGATTTTCTTTCAAAATCCCATTTTGTAGTATTTCAGTTACTACTATCATCTCATTTGTCTTTCCTGTTATTCAGGAGTGCAGCTTCCCCAGTTTATTTTCTCTATTTCTTTCTCAAACTATGCTTAATTTAGTTTATGCGATCCTCAAGTTCTAAGATCCATTTTCAAGTCAGGGTACAACTCTATGAAGACTAACACTTAAATTGTGGGGAATACCAAGTACACATCAAGACGGTTTCTCCAAGGCCTAGATTTGTCTAAAATTTAACAAGTCTTTGTGTTGCATATGGTTTATAAAAATGTAAATAATTAATATAATCAGGTGTACTCTTGACAGACAGTGAAGGCTATCTTAGGTTACAAAGGGATCTTGATCAATTGGGCCAATGGGCCAAGGACTGGCAGATGGAGTTTAATTTAGATAAATGTGAGGTGTTGCATTTTGACAAGATGAACAAGGGCAGGACTTATACACTTAATGGTAGGGCCCTGCGAGTGTTGTCGAACAGAGAGACCTACGGGCTCAGGTGCAAAATTCCTCGAAAGTGGTGTCACAGTGACACAGGGTGGCAAAAGAAGGCATTTGACATGCTTGCCTTCATTGCTCAAACGATTGAATGTGAGTTGGGATGTCACATTGCAGTTGTACAGGGTGTTTGAGAGGCCACTTTTGGAGTACAGTGTACAGTTCTGGTCACCCCGCTATAGGAAGGATATTATTATTTTGGAAAGGGTACAGAAAAGATTTACAAGGATGTTACCAGGACTGGAGGGTTCGAGTTAAAAGGAAAGGCTGGATAGGCTGGGATTTTTTCCCCCAGAGAGTAGGAGATTGAGGGGTAACTTTATAGCATTTATAAGGTCATGACGGCCAGAGATAAGGTGAACAGCCGAGTTCAAAACTGGAGGGCATAATTTTAAGGAGAAAGATTTAAAAATGACCAGAGGGGCAACTTTTTCACAGCGGGTGGTTTGCATGTGGAATGAACTGCCAGAGGAAGTAGTAGATGCTGGTACAGTTACAACATTTAAAAGACATTTGGACAGGTACATGAACAGGAAAGGTTTAACAGAATATGGGCCAAACGCAGGCAAATGGGACTGGTTTAGTTTGGGAAACTTGGTCAGCATATACAATTGACCAAAGAGTCTGTTTTCATGCTATATGCTTTGAGACTCTTTGGTTGCCATAACCTCAGCAGAAAACTAAACTGATATGGTGATCCAGAATTTCACTTCCAAGCCAACAGCAAACACACAATCAGGAAAGCCTCATGGCAAACTTGCAGAGTTAGAGGCAACAGAACTTTTAATGTACTTACCTGGATTCATACCAATACCATTATCCAGAAAACACAGCATAAACCCTCCTCTTATTTCATCATTGGTTTCTGAAACATAAATATTAAAAGCTGTCAACTCAAATCAATTCAGCCTAAAGTTTGGCTTCCATGGCTTACTAGGATGAAAATAAACTGAAAAAAATTTGAATAAAAAAATAAAAGTTAGAATGAAACTTACAGTCTCACCATTTGAATACAGAAATAACAGCAAAGATTATCTGTTGAGAGCTTAATGTCTCTCAATGATTTGGGTCCCTCCTGAATAAACCTTGTCTATATTAGATGGTCAGAAGACAGGGACTCCTTTCAGTCAGTGAGCATGTCTAGTGTCTTTGGTGATGCTTTCAGGACATCCTGAAACTGCTTCTATTATCCTTTTGGGAGTCTCTTGCAATAATCAAGGTCAGAGTAGACAGTTGCTTTAGGAGGCTGGTGTCAGGCATATAACCCGGCAACATGTTCTATCCAGTGGAACTGGTTGAGTGGTTACCACCTTGAAGCTGGACATGCTAACTTCAGACAAGATATTGCTATTGCACTGCCCTGCTTCCGCAGGATTTGAAGGACTTTGTGAAGGCACCACTAATGGTACTTAACCATTATTTCATGTTGATCATCATTCAAGATCACTGACTACCTCAACAGCAGTCATGTTTTTATCTTATAGCATGTACCATATTCCTCATTAGCGAATGCAAAGACATTTACTAACTGCGTAAAAAAATACACACCACCAAAAAATTAATAAAATCCCATTATGGACTTAAGAACATAACTTTAAAAGGTTTGTGTAAGGCTCTCCCCCTCCTCTGCTCCTACGATGCTGCTTGGCCTGCTGTGTTCATCCAGCCCTGCACCTTGTTGTCTCGGATTCTCCAGCATCTGCAGTTCCTACTATCTCGAATTCTACATTGTAAGTTTCATTCTTATTGCAATCACAATTTGACAATAAATCAGTTTGATAATCATTCCCAGCGACCAACATACCATAAATTGTAAACAAGCAAACATAATAAAAATAATAAATATCCATCCCTCCCACATTTTGAATTTGTTAGTTATTTTTAAAAAAAAGCTTGCTAGAGTCACAATTATTAGGTTTCAGATTGTTGAAGTCTTTACTCAAACTTACGCTGACAAGTTTCATTTGTCCCCTCAAACCAATGGGCCAGTTAATAAACCTTTTATCCTCCCTTGCAAGTGAAAACAAAAAATATTTATGGAGGCTGGTCTGACTGTCTCCACACCCCTCACCATTACTTAATATCAAAAGGATAAATAAAATTATTCAATCAAACATGATGTGACTACGATGAGGATTAAAAATATGTACACATACCATTTTTAATGCCAGAAAAATGTTATTCTTTATTTGTTCCTGGGATGTGGGTGTCACTGGCTATGCCAGCATTTACTATCCATAACTGCACTTGAACTGAGTGAATTGCTTGGCTAGAAGGCAATTAAGAGTCAACTGCATTGCTGTGGGTCTGGAATCACTTAGGCCAAATCAGGTAAGGATGACACATTTCCTTTCCCAAATCAATTGAGTTTTTACAACAATGATAAAAGTTCATCTAATTGTGACTGTATAAATTACAGATTTTTAACTGAATTTCAATTTCACCATGCCCATAATTTTAGCCTTAGGTTCTTGATCTGTAGTCAAGATACATTACTATTATGGCAGTACCTCCCCCTACTCCACTGATATTGTAGCATGGCTCCTTTTTACATAGTAATAGTAGTGGAGCTTGTTTTGCTGCCTTGCCATTTTTTGTGGGTGAATTTGAAACAGGCAGAGATGCAGGTTTTCATGATCAGAGACACAAATGCTCATCATTGCTCAAGTTTTAATGAGGAAAATTCAATCCCTGAATTTGTTTAAAATGATTACTACAGTGGTTCTTTGAGGGTTATGATATCAATAACACTTAATTAGTCAAAGGCTGCTCATTCAAGATAGCTTTGCTATCAAAGCACTAACATGCAGCTGACTGTTGATACAATACTGTCATTGAGAGGCCAAAACTACATTGGGACACCATTCACAATAAAAAAAGTTATGTAATTTACAAAAATAAACTTACATAGTTTACAATAAAAAATAAATTTACATAATAAATGAATTAGACCTCATTCAACAGCTTTGGGGGAAGAGACTGGCCAGGGTGTTAGAGAGATATACAAACTGAGACTTAAGATATTCCTGAAATGGTCCAGAGATAAGCTGAATGCTTTGCAAAACCTGCTTCTGATTGGTCGAGAGATTATATCATGCACTCAATGTCTCTCGTAGGAATTTGTCCTAGCCTGTCATGACCTTAAGAAATGAAAAAAACAAACATTATAAAAACTATAAAGTTTAAAATGATTTGCTAAACTAAAACAGCTGCAATAGATCACATCACTCGCAAATTGGCTACAGTTCTGGAATTTTCCAGTGAATGAAACCAAATCACTTGTGAAATTTCATGCATACAATTGCATGGGACCTGTAAACAGATAGTGAAGGCACATACTTTCTATGTCAAACCTGGAACTGAGAACAAAGGGAATGTTGAAATGTTTTGTAATTGTAAAAGGTGCTAATAGCACCTTCTAAGATCCTTGAGCAGACAGTGAAATTAATTGTCAAGTTGTAACAGATTCCTTAAATGGGCTAGTCACAGGACCAAACTCCTCTGGTCTTTGATAAGTTTTTAATTGTACATTTCTGAACATGTTTTGATGTTAACATAACAGAAAGCAAAGAGGTACAGATGAAATAAACAAATATTTTGCTTCAGAGATAGTAGGAACTGCAGATGCTGGAGAATCCGAGACAACAAGGTGCAGGGCTGGATGAACACAGCAGGCCAAGCAGCATCATAGGAGCAGATTTGCTTCACTATCTTTACTTCAGAGGATGTAAAAAATGTGCCAGTCACAGTCACAGAGAAGTACAGACCCTTCAGTCCAACTTGTCCATGCTGACCAGATATCCTAAATTAATCCAGTCCCATTTGCCAGCATTTGGCCCATATCCCCTAAACCCTTCCTATTCACATACTCAACCAGATACCGTTCAAGTGTTATAATTGTACCAGCCTCCACTACTTCCTCTGGCAATTCATTCCATACACACACCACCTTCTGTGTGAAAAAGTTCCCCTTAGTTTCCTTTTAAATCTTTTCGCTCTCACTTTAAGCCTATGTTCTCCTATTTTGAACTCCCCTACCCTGGAGAAAAGACCTTGGCTATTTACCCTACCCATGCCCCTCATGATTTTATAAACCTCTAAGGTCACCCCTCAGCCTCTGACACTCCAGGGAATAGCTGAAAATCAGGAGGTAGGATGACAGTAGCAAAGTCAGTGAAATTACAATCACAAGGGAAGTGGTACAAAGCAAAGTGATAAAGGTGCAGACAGATGGGTTTCTGGATTCAGCCAAACTTCATCAAGATCTTAAAAGAGGTTAATAAAAAGGAGGTAGTAGATGCATGGGTGACTATCTTCCAAAATTTCCTAGATTTAGGAAAGGCTCCATTTAGCAAATATAGTCTCTCTATTCAAGAAAGGAGGAAGGACGAGTACAGGAAACTATGTCATTTAGCTTGATATTTGTCACGGAAACATAGAAAATATAAACACAAGTAGCCCTCTCAGCCCTTTGAGCCTGCCCCACCATTCAATACGACCATGGCTGATCATCCAACTCAATACCCAGTTCCTGGTTTCTCCCCATAACCTTTCTTTAAAGCATTCAATATTTTGGCATCAAATGCTTTCTGTGGCAGAGAATTCTACAGGCTCATCACTCCCTGAGGAGACATTTTCCCTCGTATATCAAGAAAGACTTGGAAGGTGGTGATCATTGAACATTTTTAAAGGCACACAGATATATTCTTAAATCACAGAAATCAAGGATTCTCAGGATAAATGGGAATAGAATCTGAAACACAACAAGGTCAGCAATGTTTTTAAGTTGTAAAGCAGGCTTGAGAAGTTGAATGGTCTTTTTCTGCTCCTATTTTGCTCGTGTGTAACACCACAAAAGAAACATTAAGCCAGCCTGAGACAGGCTGCTTGATACTTAGCTCAAAGATTCTTATACCTGTCTCAAAGAGGTGTTGCTACATCATCTACTAGGGAATGAAATCTGCCATTTTGACCTGGTCTGACCCACGTGATTCAAGACTTACAATGTGGTTGACTCTTAACTGCCCTAGGATTACAATAAGCACTGGGCACACATTAATGACTTTAAAATAAATTCATTTTAACTTCATAGGGGTTTTTGGAAACGCACCACACATTATTCAAAATTAAACCACTACTTACTGCAAGAGGCCACATCTTTCATTTTCTGGAACTATAAACTAAGACAGAAGTTTGGCTGCTATAACTGGAGTATCAGGAAAGTCTTTTGCAGCTTGAAAATTGAGTGTTGCATGTTGTTGACCTGAGTAGTATAATGTTGCTTTTTGGAAAAAGAAGAAGGAGAATGAGACTGAAAGGCACCAACAATCTTTTGAGTTAAGGAAATTCTACTTGACAACAGCCCTCTGATGGAGCTTTATCGTACTCTGCATCTCAAAGTGCCCAGAGCAGTAGACAGTGGAAAACTTTGAAAGCCTTCAGAGGGAAAACGTGTACGCACATGCACGTGTGGGGAAAAGACAGAAGAAACTCAAGAAAACATGAAATAATATGTATCTGAGAAGACCCAGGTTTACTCATCAAATTGAAGGATGGCAGCGCCTTATAGGCAACAGTACATAGCTGCAAAGAAAAAAAATCAGAAGTGTTCAGAAGACTAACTTGCCCCTTATGGTCTGGACCTTTGTAATTTTGTTTGCCTTATCCATAGTCTTTCCACCCTTAGTATATGTGAAAAACTGCATACCTTTTGTCTGTCTCAATCATAAATGAGCATATATGCATTTCAGAGATAGTAGGAACTGCAGATGCTGGAGAATCTGAGATAACAAGGTGTAGAGCTGGATGAACACAGCAGGCCAAGCAGCATCAGAGGAGCAGGAAGGCTGACGTTTTGGGCCTAGACCCTTCTTCAGAAAATC